TTCGAATACCCTCCACACACATTTCTTCCTACTTTTTGTTAAGTGCGAACGTTTGACCCCGCCGGCTCAAGATTCGAACCACCGCTTAGACTTACTCGCAATGACTCTGACGCGGCAGGCAGCCTCCACCGTGGCGCTGTAGCCAGCCGCGGCCGCGCTCTTTTAAGTTCGGTACTAAAGACTCGCAAGTCATTTAAGCGCCTCGAGGAGTTCCGACGTTGAAGTGGTTACCCCTGCGTCGACAGGTGACACGAGACTCGGCTCGTACGGGGTTCGACTCACGGTGAAAGCGGGCCGTGGGATTCCCTGGCTGGGTTCCGAATAACGCGAAAAGTGGCTAGCCGTTCCCCTTTCCCAGCACCAAGTTGTGCTGGCAGACGCGCTTACAAGACCAAGGAATCTGGCCTCATAAACAGTTGTCCAGTACTGTCTAACGTACGAATTTCACCGCGAGTGTGTTCTGACCATTGTCGTTGAGATCGGTTGTTTCCGCGGCACAGTCTCCGCCAACAACTGTGAGGGGCGTAAACTCTACTTACGTTTATTTTTATTATTTTTTGTCTGGATGGGAGGAGAAAAAGAGGGGGAGAGGCGCGTGAGCATTGGACTTTGTCTTTAGTCTGTTCGGATTAAGCTGCATGTGGCCGTGTCAGGTTTAGCTAGAGCTGTGTAACTACAAGCAGGGAAGTGACAAGCTGCCGGCGCGTGCGAGAGCGTGCTGTGGTGGGTGCTGGGCCTGCCTCGATGTCTGCCCACTTACTCGAAGATCCGGGCAAGTATCAGGCAGTTTTCGTGGTTCCGTGCAACCCCCGGGCAACCCCCTGGTATAAACTCCGGACAACTTTGGGCAACATCCGGGCAAGTACCGGGAAACTTCCCTGCTTTTAACCAGTGCGGAGCGCGGTCCAGTGCAGAGGGGGGGGGGAGGGGCATTAGGCTGACAGCGGCCGGTCCATTGGGGTAAGGGGCGGGCAAACTCATGGGCAACTTACGGACAAGACCCTGGCGGCGTGCTGAGAGTCTGCGCGCCGTCAGTCGCTAGCGATGCAACGAGGTTACCGCGGGTCGGTTCACGACCCTCTGCCTGTGAGAACAGCCTAGGCGCCGGGCAACTCGTGGGTGCCTTTGCGAATCTCGCTCGCTCACGCCCACGGTGTAGAGAGATCTCTCTACACCGTGCTCACGCCTGACGCACCCACGAGTTGCCCGACGGCTGTCCTCACAGGCAGAGGGTCGTGAACCGACCCGCGGTAACCTCGTTGCATCGCTAGCGACTGACGGCGCGCAGGCCTACAACACGCCAGGGCTCTACCAACCAGGGTCCTGACCGTAAGTTGCCCATAAGGTTGTTCCTCCTTGCCCAAATAAGCCAGACGCTGTCAGCCTAATTCCCCCCCCCCCCCTTTCTGGCCTAGAACCGCGCTCCGCACTACAAGCAGAGAAGTTGCCCGGTGGTTGCACGGAGGTTGCCCCCGGTGTTGCACGGAAAATGCCTGGTACTGGCCCGGATTTTCTTTGTCTGGGCTGATGGGCTTAATCGATACTAGAAATGATGTTTTCCTATAAATGCCTGGGAGAGCATAAACTTAATGGGAAACTTCCTGGGCTCCATTTTCTTGTTTCTTTTTTCAGGCTCGACGATGATGTGATCTCGAACCTGCCGCGCTCAAGCATAGAAACGTCTATGTGGCGGGCACGGTCGAAGGCTCTCCCCGTGCTCCCCACCTCCCTCACGCACTTCGCTGAGATACTCAACGACCCGCAGTTTTCCGGCAGGTTCGCCACTGCACATAATGGCGAGCCGTTTCAAGTCATTGGCTGTGACGGCGATGGCAGGGAGGGCCAGGCAGCCATAATTATAAGCTCCAACTTTCGCGAGGCCCTGGTGGAGGCAACAGACATCCATCTGGACGGGCACTTCAAGATGGTTCCGGGGATCCCGGGCACCTACCAGTTGCTGACAATCATGGCGGTGTCCTATGACATCGTAAGTAAATATCCTAAGGAAGGACCCTTGTTAGCTGCCTGTAATATGGTCAATTTGAGCTATAAAAGCACAATAAATAAAGTGGCGTGCACATGCAAGTGCTCAACACTACATTGCACATTTTAAAGTGTTTTACTGGATATTTGAATACTAAAAAGTGTTTAACAGTAAAGTTGAACACATAAAAGTGTGCAACTCCGGGGTTGTCTATTTTTAAGCTTTGCACACTTAAAAGTGCTCAAATATCCTGTTGAACACTTGTAATTATTAATCAAATTTCCCGTCCAACACCTAAATGTGTGCATCATAGTGTTGAACGCAACCATGTGCATGCCAGTTGCACACTTTATTTATCAGTGCACCTGCTTTTCTAGGCTTTCAGCTGCGCACAGCCCCTGTCCTGCAAGCCCAAGGCACACTTTTCAAAACAAAAGTGACAACCGTTGTTTGTTTTCAGGTGGTGCCCGCCGTCAGCATTCTCATGACCAGGAAAACGCAGGAGGCGTACACGATGGTCCTGAGGAAGGTGGCCGAGGCCATCCCCGGCTTTTCACCAACATACGTGATGTGTGATTACGAAAGGGCCCTTTTCCAGGCAGTGGCTGATGTTTTCGTTGAGGCAATCATCTCGGGCTGCCTTTTCCACATTGATCAAGTGAGTCCAAAAGCTGTGCAGGGTGGCCCACGTTTCCCAGCCAATTTCGTAGGTATACCGGGTGGTCCACAGACCCCTTCCTTTATTTTGCTGATACTGTGCCGCATGCAGGAGTGCGGGCGGGCCTGCCTACCATCGCTCACCACGGCGCCTTATGGCCCCGTGCGAGTATGCAACCCGCCCGCACTCCTGCATGCGGCACAGTATTAGCAAAATAAAGGAAGGGGTCTGTGGACCACCCTCTGAACTGAACCGCATGCAGGCGGGCCGACACGTCGCTTACTCGCGAGGCAAGGGACCTTAAGGCGCCGTCGTAAGCGGCGGTAGGCAGGCCCGCCCGCACGCCTGCATGCGGTATACTGGGTAACTACGAAGCGTTACAAAGAATTCCATTGCCATCGGCCGATCGAGCGGGTGCCGTCGAACCAGGGACTAGGGGATGACGATCTCATGCCGCCGGTGCTGCAGGTCCTCCTGCTCTGATAGCTGCGAAAGCACCTTCGAGTTGTGCAGCTGCACCAGCTCACTGGCCTCGGGCCAACTGACGGAATAGTGCATGCATCTCGTGCAGGGGTCGCGAGCCTCGTCCCTAAATATAAATAGTGTAAAGTGTAAACGGTATTAATTGCACTGCCTCATACAACAATTTTCACTTTTCCAGGCCATGTGCAGGTGGACGGCGACCACAGGGGGTCTTCTTGTCTATCTCCGTGAGACTCCAATGGCTGGCCTCCTGGTGCGAATGTGCATGGCACTGCCACTGCTTCGGCCAGATCGCATCCAGGGGGCCTTCGACGATGTGTGCCGGTTCTCACGGGGGGCAAGGGACCAAAACCTGTTCAACACCATGGAAGCTTTCCTTGACTACATACAGAACACTTGGATTGATGGTCAGTATGTAACTCCAAAACTTTGATTAGATTATTTAGTACCAGGTGGCTGATTAACCCCGCACACTTTTGTACTATGCAACCACGGCTCCATCCGGGACTGCATATACCCACCAGGCGCTGGGAACCGGCTCCAAGCGCCAGCGCGTCGCTCCGCCACTGTAGTTGCAGCCACCGCCCTGGGGCGTTGCAAAGAGGTTGTTCGCGGTTTCGCGAGGGTTCCCGCGAGTCCTCGGGGGTAACTCGCGATACCGCGGGGGTCAATCGCGGGTCCGCGGGGGTGAGTCGCGGGTGCGCGGGGTAGATTGCGGGTCCGCGAGGGCAGCTCGCGGGTCCGCGGGGGTAGCTGACGGCAACCGCGGACCCGCGAGTCACCCCTGCGGACCCGCGGGAAATCCCCGGGAAACCGCGAACAACCTCTTTGTAACGCCCCAGGACGGTGGCTGCAACTACAGTGGCGGAGCGACGCGCTGGCGCTTGGAGCGGGTCCCCAGCGCCTGGGGGGTATGCAGTCCCGGATGGAGCCGTGCGGGCAGGTTGCATAGTACAAAAGTGTGCGGGGTTAATCAGCAACCTGGTATTTGTTATTTAAGACCACCTCGCTCGGTGAGGTTCTCTGTAATTCGCGCCAAGTGCCCTTTTACCAAAGTCCTTTCTTTTTTGGCTGTACTGCACGCAGAGCCACGCAACGAGCGGGCAGCGATGCACGTTTGCGTCCTATAAAACGACAGGTGACAGTGAGAGAAAGCTGGTGCGGTTCGCGCATCTCACTTCCACCTATGTCGTTTTCGGACGCAAACGAGCATCGCTTCCCGCTCGTTGCGTGGCTCTGACTGCACAGAGGAATGCAAATCCACACTCTCACCTGAATTCAACGTGTGAACCTGACGATTTCTTTGCATATGTTGCATTCTAGGTATTGGACCGGAACACATAAGTGTTTACAGACGACGGCGACGTACAAATAACGACCAAGAAAGCTACCACAAGACTCTCGTGGACACCCTGGGTACTCCCCACGGCAATGCTTGGGCGTGGATGGGTATGTATTGCCTCTGAAATGTAAAATTGGCTTAGCGATAGTGCACGCCTTGTCGTCATGGGTAGTGACTTAAAATTTAGAGTATTAAGGGTCCAGCGCGTAGACAACACAAAATACAAACGGGTATGGCGTGTGACACCCAGTACCCAGCACCGCCATTGGCCGCTTGTAGTGAGGTCGGAGGGTCTGTCGGTCTTACGGGAGGACGGGCTGTCAGTTCCCTAACAGAACGCACCCTAGAAGCACGTGCAACAGCGACGTCGACTCGACGTCAAGGAGACGAAAGGAATGGTTCCCGGGCCGGGGCCGGGTGGAGGGGGGGGGGCACCTGCAGGTGGAGGGGAAGGGAAGGAGCGAGGTGGTAGGGGTTTGCATAGGCACCCCGACCACACGCTTGTTTTGCGGTAGCATACGCACAAGGGGCTTTCACTCATACTCTTAGGCTCAGGTACGGCTAGGAACGGTCCTCTCGACGCCCGCAGCAGGCGTCCGCGGGCAACACGCGGGCGCGGGCAGGCCGCCTCCGCCCGCCCGGGCTAACACAGGCTACAGCCGCGCGCCCCAGCCCGGATTCGCCCCCGGAACGCCCGGCCTGAGCCCGCTCGCGTTTCGTGCTGTGCAGTTCATTACCTAAGTGATCTGGGTGAATCAGCCACTTGTTCCACACTTACGTAGACTAACCCTTAAACGCGTTGTTTGTTTCACGTCCAGACAAGTTCCGGCATCACGAGCAGCGGCAACGGCGTCGCCTTCTACAAGCATCTGTCGGAAACAACCCCGGCCGGGCGCAGCGCAAGCAGTACGCTCTGCTCAACAAGCGTATTGCTCGGGCCACCGACCGCCTTGATCAAGGCCGCATCTCAGCCATACAGTTTCTCAAAATATGCAGCCATCAATGCCACAGCACCTACAATAGGGTGGCACTGCGAGTGAAGCGTGATAGGAGAGCTGAGGGGGCTGACGAACTGATTGCTGAAATGGGAGAACCGATCCCCGAGGAGGAGATGGGCCCACCGCCGGCGCTTCCGCCCGGAGTCGCCGATCCTCTGGATCCCCCTGCTCACCCTGTAGACATCTCATCCGACGAGGAGGGAGGGGACTCCGAGGAAGAGGACAACCCCTTCCTGGAGCGTGCTCCAGCCGGCAGACGACAGCGCCGCAGAGCTGCAGCACCAGGACGGGGCCGCGGTGAAGCAGCTGGACGCGGTCGAGGAGGTCGCGGCGGACCAGCTGGACGCGGTCGCGGTGGAGCAGGTGCGCGTGGACGCGGTGGAGCAGCTGGGCGTGGACGCGGAGCTGGGCGTGGTCGTGTAGGCCGCGGTCGAGCTGTGGCGGCAGCAGGGCGCGCCAATGGCGCAGTTGCCGCACAGGCTCGCGCTGCAGCAGCACCGCGTGCTCGACAAGTTGGACCAGCTGGCGGACGGGCTGTGGCTGCAGCAGAGCGCGCCCGTGCACGCCGTGAAGCCGAAGTTCATCGTGTGGCAGCAGATAGAGGAGCTGCGCGTGCTGAACGGGCTGCTCGCCGAAACCGTGTAGGTGGTAAGTTCGACAAATTCCGGAAAACTTTCCCAAAAGCTTAAAACCATTACTCGTTCTCTAATACTTGTTTTTTGCTGTCTATAGAGCAACAAGTACCTCAGGCACAACTACAACAGCCACTGCCTCAACCCGAGCAGCCTCCAGCCGAGCAGGCTCCAGCACCACCTGTCGTCGCCGTGCCGCCGATTGGAGACCCAATATACGCCTTGGAGGACGACGACCTGTATGATCCTTATAGGAGCGCGACGCCCTCACCAGTACGACATGTTGAGCTTCCTGTGGCCCAGCCCCAGCAAGTAGTTGTGCAGGTGAATGAGGGTCCCATGTGCCTTGACTGCCGCACTGCCAAGGCCCTCTTCGTAATGCAACCATGTGGTCACCTTGCTTTGTGCAATGCATGCAATACGAGTGCTGTAATTCACAACCGGGTGACCTGCCCCATGGGGGCTGTTTGCCCTCCTGTGACTGACAGAATCCGCTCATACTATTAGAGTAAAGACTCATTGTTGGGAGATTAACGTGTCGCGGTTCACGCCCCCCACCTCCTTTGCATCAAGAACATTAAAGTGATTAGAGTCTGGCATCATTTAAAAATGGTTTTTGAGTTACTGCACTGGTGTGCCTTAATAAATAATGCAAAGAAATTCTGTTGTTCAAATTTATTTACTGAAAGTTTTTTTACACATGGAAAAGGGTACTATTGTTGCCACAGTTCTGTTTGAATCTTAAGTAACACTTTCAGTCATAAAAGTTGGCTGTTACATTATGTATTTAAAAGTTTTCTAATTTAAAAAAAAAAATGGAAAATTGTTGTGGCTTGTAGGCTGAAAGTCCCCTATCAAGTGGTTCTTGGCTAACAACAAGTTTCACCATGACTTTCATTTGTAACATTTTCTAGCATCACTCCAATAAGAAGGAAATCTGAATCCTCATATGTGAGGTATCTAGTCCATTTTCACAATATAATTTTTTGGAGGTTTGTTTTCCAGAACAATCACTATCATTTTTTTGGGAAACATCAAATATTTTAAAATGCATGGATCTACTTGTGCCTTGTCTGGCCTAAATTACACATGGAACTGATTTAAATAGATAGAGATAGAGATATTAGAACAAGAAGAATGCAGCACACAACAAGTTGTATCAATAATCTCTACTTTTTGCATTGGAAGCCTCACGTTTCTTACAGATAAATCTAAACAGATATGAGACGTTTAAAATTTACTGATCCTACCATGTAGGGGAATACACGATATGATTTCTACCTATGATCAAAACAAAAGCCTACCTCAGCAGCATCACACAAAATAGTTTCCCACTCTGTACAGCAAAACATTTCACATAATCAAACTCAAGGTAATCAACTATACCATACACTTGAATATTCATATTGCCTTGGTTGTTTCATTTCGGGAATAAAATTGTTTCTCACTTTGCACAGTGAATCAGTGCATCAAGGTAGACGATACAACCAACAGGAAAGCTCTTCTGAAGACGGAATCCAAAAGATCTCCACCAGGTTTGCTGACTTGCGTTTTCTTCAGTCTGTCCTCTCTCGTTGATTGTGGTTTGCCAGGCAGTTTCACCGCATGACCTCGCCCTGCAACAATAAAAATACAATTAGATTTTTCAGCTGTGGAAACACTGGCATGATGAAGTCAGCAACCATCGTACATACCACAACAGCTAGAGTCAGTGCACTTCACCATCTCTGTACCACCTCTTGACAGGGATACTGACGTCTGACGCTGATGATCAAGGAAATCATACCACCTGAAACATTTTGTAAAGAATATTAATGGTACAGCTTGAACATTTTTTTTTTTCATAGAACAACCAAGACACAATATGAGAGTAATGCTTAGAGGATCTCTATTATTTCCAATTAAAATCCACACACAACATTAGTTTCTATCAAAATAAATGAAATTCCTATCTTAGCGCAAGAAATAACACTCCACCGTGGACAGAAAATCAGCTCACAAAGTACACAATGAAGGATTCATACACATAAAAATAAAATAAACATGATGACGCCAAACAATGGAATGACATAACTTATTCTATAATATTTCCCAGTCAAATCAGAAAACGAGTCTTGTTCTATTAAAGAAGGTAATCTGATGGGCATGAAGAAATAATATCTCACTTTTTACACCATATCAACAGAGCAGATCTTTAAGAAGGTCTTCAAATGGGCACATGCCTGCATCTTTCTTAGGCATTTTCTGCTCAGGCACTGTTTCTCCGGACAAGATGAACTGTCTGACCCTGATTCGCAACAGTGAAAATACAACTGCTGGTTGTCGCACAATCATTTTTAACTCTATGGCATATCAACAAGAATTGTACTTACATACCCCGACGTATCCACACCAGTGCATTTCACTATCAGTTAGCTGTCGAAGGCAGCAAACACAGATTTGATGTTGATCAGGGTGCAGTAACACTATCACTTGAACAGCTGATGAAGACAGCAAGACAGATTTGATGTAGATCAGGGTGCAGTATAATCGTACCTGAAACATTTCACAAAGAATATAAATGGTGGAGCACAACCCAACGTAACGAGGAAAATAGCTGAGAAATCAACAAGCGAGTGGCGAGACGCGAGACAGTCGATCGGGCCTACGAAGTAAATGCGAGATAAACAATAACAATGAAATTGAACGTGAAACGCAATAGTCACAGGTATTGACTCCGGGAGTTAATCTGGTAGTACAAAAGTGTGTGACAACATGCAGTGGCGAGAAAAAAACACTAATCAACGGTATAACACATAATGGGGAGATACAGTGTAAAATATAACGGAGGAGAAGGACCTCGCGGGAGGTTATGTGTTCCTCACCTGGGGTAGCACAATAGAAGTGCTACCAGCGAGAAAAATCAGCCCGACGGCACGAGCGACGTCTCGTGCAAAAACGACGAACAGCTTACGAGAAGCACAGCAGTGGTTGGACAATCACGACCGCACTTGACCAAAAACTGCAATTATAAACTGGATGCGGAGCACCCAAGCACAATGATGGCACCAACACTCTCCTCATACCGACACGACCAGCCAGCCAGCCGGCAGCCGGCTAGGCGCACGTCGACATGGTTCTTGTGGCAGCCGAGAGAGCGCGCCAGGTGACTGACGCGCCCCGTGCACGGTCATAGGTATACTGCACCGGCCGCACGAGTGCCGGGTGGGTTGCCTACCGCCTCGCTCAATGGCGCTGTTGCGGGCAAAGCGAAAGGTATTCCGTTATTCGTTACCATTTAAGTATTCGCGCCTCGCATGGCCAGGACGTGAGCACTGGAGAGCTGCCTGACTGAGAGCCGTCAGACAGAGAGTAAGATCGGGGCTGCAGTTATGCAGACGTAAGGGATTCACCCCGCCAGTGCACCATGTCCGAGCTGGAGGCCGACGACCCAGCGGGCCAGGGAAGCTCTCGAGAGAGCAGTCGTGCTGAACGAGCGGTGTGTGGAGGTTCGTTCGGTCAGTTCAATAGATCAATACACGTGTTTTAACTGTACCTCAGAGTAGCCCTCAGCCTCAGTACCCGTAGAACTCAAAATATACCAGCCAAAACATCGCCTTGCGGACGCCCCAGACCAAGAATGACACCACGCTGGCTAGAAAATAGGTTCTCCTTGCTTCAACAGGCTTCAGCTGCCGTAGTGATGCTGTGCCGCATGCAAGCGTGCGTACAGGTTGCCTACCAGCAATGCCCGTAAGGATCGTTTAACAAACCCTGCGTGCAGTGTGGTATAACTACAGAGATGCACGGGAATTTTCATGATCATGATGGCAAATTGTCCAACGCACTCCTGCTCGTGTTATCACACTCCGCGGAGGGACAGGTGCGGCCAGTCGATCTGACTGCCACTCCCGCCCTCCCCCCCTCCCCCCGGCCCACAGCCACACATTGCACTGCCCCTCCACCAAGCGCGCCTAGAGCTTGCCCCGGTTGACGGAGGGAAGCGATGCAGTATCGGATGCCTGCAGACTGAAGTTCTGGAGCGCAAATTGCCTACCTTTCAGGCGGCACTCTAGACACGCCTCCTCTAGACACTCCAGGAAGGGAGGGGGGCGGAGGGGGGGGGG